CATTAGACAAATTATTAAACATTGAGGGAGTTGCGTGACAAATAGGACAGTTTTGCATTGATTTTGTATTTGTTATGATGTTTAGAACTTTTCCGTCAATTAATGTCAAAAACAGAGAAAAATGAACTCGAATTCGACGATTATCATCCAATGCAATTTCAAGAATTTCTAGTTTGTCAATTTCTTCTTCAACGTACTTTTTTGCACCAAAATAACATCTGCAGTTTCTGAAATGTATTGAATGCAAAGAGGGTGACATGATTTTGGGGATTGCGATCTTCTGTTGTTCCATAGAGAACTATATTTTCTTCATCGGAGTTGAATAGTAATCGTAAAGAAATTGCAGTTGTAACAAACAGATTTCCATCACTTTGTGGCGCATTTTCTGCTGCAGATTTGTATAACTGATTATACCAAGATAATCCTGAACAACCATCAAACCCCTATGAAAACATCATCACGCTTTCTAATAATACTAAGTTTGTTTTCTGTATGTACTAAATAATAACTTCAGATTGCAATTTTACAATTCTTTCTGTGGTATGGTTTAATAAGGATTGAAGGGTGACCCTTACAATCTTTTCAGAAAGAGAAAGAGAATTTTTTGGAGGGCGACATTCTTCCTTAGCAAGTCTAACTTCATTGTAGGTTGGACAGATATCTGCACTACATGATTTAACTTCTGTGCGAATGCTTTGATACAAATCTTTACTCAAAAATTTCTCTAATAAAAATGCTAAGGCTTCTTCTGGAGTTTTTTTCACAATTGAAACTAGGGGTTCGTTGATTAATTTCCTAATTTTTTTAGGTTGCTCTAAACATTTCAGTATATTATCGAGTACAAAACATAAATTAAAATTTCCAGAACGCCTCGATGCATAACGACATGCCATAATCATTCTCTGTGGATCATGTTTCAATTCTGCACTAATTTCAGTAACTTCTCGACGTTGTGAATTTTTTTAGATAATTCAATAGCAGGGCGACCAAATTTAGATGATTGAGGCTTGTTTTCATCAATTTCAGAAATTGATGTGGAAAAATCAGAATCTAACCATTTAGAATTCATTGCTTCATATCTATCCTTCATCCTTTTTGCACTTTCAAATTTTTTCAAATTTTTGCATTTCAATGAAGTTAATGAATTTTTTAATTTTTTGAAATCTTCTTCTGAGATATTATTAACATCCATATTGATTATAGATAAAATTTCATTAGACGTAATTTTTATATCATTATTCCTTGAAATAATGTCAAGAACTTCTCGTTTGGTTAATTTCGACATTTTTATAATTGTTTTTTTATGATATTATTATACATTGACCTATTTTTATTGCAAGTTAACCAGATTTAATTGAAAAATACAAATTACAAATCATGTATAACATGAAAGATGCAATGTCCACGATAAGGTGTTAAATAAGTGTAATATATGGTATATAGCTAAATTCTTTAATGTAAGCATATATTATATCAGAATCTGAATTCGGGCAAAAGTGGGCGGATTTTTCTTATTCTTTAAGGTCTATTAAAGAAATCAGAAGTTGAGAGAATTGAAAATCTAGTGGAGTCTCGGGGAGTTTACTTTCGGAAGTACTACATTAATGAAAATTTTTACAATTACTTAAGGGGACACTCCAGTTCAAAACTGGCAAAAAAAAGGCTTTTTTAGTATATATTATTAAAATAACTATGACATTTATTTACAAAGTTTCTTTTACATGTAATAAATAATTTATTTAAGAATTTGTAAAAAAAAAATTTTTCATTTTTATTTAAAAATGGCGGCGATATACGCCATTTTCAAAAATGCCCATTTTCGGTGGTAAGATCGATTCCAAACTTTCTAAAACAGATAAAACCAAAAACGAAGTGACATTCTCTTCGTTAGATATTTCTTTAGGTGTGGAACCTCAAAAAAGTGGAATTTTCTTCCCCCCCTTTTTTATAGAGTACTTTTTCCCCATAATATGCAAAAAAAATGTGTTTTTTTGAGGTTCCACTTATAGGCATGATGACGCTAAATCAATAGCCGTTCGATTTTTTAAAATCGCTTCAAAAGAACTCGAGATATCACTCTTACCAGATCAAAAAAGGACATTTTAAGAAAAACGCATTTAAAGTTTTTGTTTAAGTTTCGAAATATAAAAAAAATCATCGGATTTGCTTGAAAATCGTTACTCGGGGGTTTTTGAGGTCGCTTATTACGAATATGGAATCAGATTTTTAAAATTCAAAATGGCGGATCCAATATGACGGACATTTTTTTTCAAAATCATTGGATTTGCTTAAAAATCGTTACGGGGAGGTTTTTGGGGTCGCTGATTACAAATATGACATCATTTTTCAAAATTAAAAATGGCAGATGCAATATGGTAGACGAAAAAAAATTAAAATAAAAAAATTTTCTTTTCTGCCATATTGGATCCGCCATTTTGAATTTTGAAAATTTGATATCTAATTTGTGATCAGCAACACCAAATACATTTTTGTTTGTCTTTTCTAAAAAATGCAAATGAGAAAACATTTAAATCATTCGATTGCTTATTCGCATACAAAAACATCTTTGACATTGCGAAGAATAAGGATGTATAACTTTTGTTTTACTTCGAATTTTTCAATAATATTTTAGAAGAGTATTCTTGATAATATAAGAAATCCGAAAATAAAAACAAAAAAAATCGATTTTTTTGACATTTTAAACTGGAATGTCCCCTTAAATAAAACCATGTGGTACTTTAACAACTTTAAACGAATTGACTTCTATTTTTATTTTTATTACTTCGAATGTAGAAAGAAAAATTAGAAAAAAGATAGAGTGAATTCTTTTAAATAATTATAAACCAAATGACTTTTATTACAAATACATTTGATAAAAATTAGAATTTTTTTCAAACTTTGCGCAAGTGTACATTAAAAATATATTATCATTTGACAACCAAATTTGTAGAATAACTACTTTGGTTACTACTCATTGAAATGGTAAACTTCATTTAATAAAATTCTAAAAGTGACTTTTGGCCACTGAAGTAGGTCGTCTGGCCCACAGTGCGCTGCCTAGAGCAACTTCAAACGTCACACACTTTTTACCAAGTTTTTTAAGAACAAGAAGTGCATATATGTTTACATTGATTTTTTTATAAATAGTATGACTAATTAACTAAAAAAATATAAAAAAAGAAATTAAAAATATCAACAAATAAAGGCTCAGGAATTTTTTGAAAAAAAATAATTATCTCCCCCTTCTTTTGACCTAGATCAAAAATTTTTTTTGCAAAATTTGCAGAAAAGAATAAGTAAACAAATGGCGTTTATCCCAAATTGTTAAAGTAAAAATTGTTGATACAGGGATCATTTGTTTATCAGCAAAAAATTACCCCCCCCCCCTAAAAAGCCAGTTGTTTTGCAAAAATTCAATTTGCCACAAATTGTGATTGACAGATTGGCATTTTATAAAGAGAACCCAAAAAAACAAACTGATTTTCATACAGCCAAAAATGTAGAAATTCCGTTGAAAAAAACCATGTTTTTAGTTAACAAATGGAATTTTTTATAAACTATATATGCGATTGGCTTCAAATTTTGCATACATCTTAAGGGCCCTGAGAGGCATATTTTTGGAGAATACCGAAAGAATTGGTTAACTTTTGTTCAAGTTATTAAACAATTAAAAAATTGTCATTTTTAGTGGTTTAAATTAATTTTCAAGTAAACAAATGAACCAATTTAAACAAATGACCCATCATTTTACAGGTATTTCTGAGCTCTATAACTTTTAATAACAACTTTTTCCCATATAATTTTATGGGAAAGAACAGTCATCAAAAAAACTGTTTTTCGGCACTTTCAAAGTTGTTTATAACGCGCAGCCAGTAAAATCTCGAGTGAGAAACATATACACATTCATACTACCACCCCACACTATATGAATCCACAGTCAGAAGTCAGGTATTAATTTTGGCACGAAAAAACACAGGTCGACTGGACAAACAGGATTTCGATGGCTTTGAGTCCATCTTTTACCGTCCTGTTGACGTTCTTCTAAATGTCGCAAGATTTTATCATCTTTGCGACCTTCCACTCCATTTTGTCGAGGCAAGTCGCCTCCTTCTTTCTTAGCCGCGAGCATATCTCGCGAGTCTCTTCTATCGCCTCGTCGTCTACTTCTGAGTGGATAGCGCTATGTACGGTCTTTCCGCTACTGCAGCTTGACACACTCAGAAGGCTCAACGCGCTCCCTTTTCTTATTCTTTCTCCTTCCACGATGTTCTGTGGATCTAATCTTTCCACGATCACCCGTGGCACTGCAAGAAATTGTGCGCTCCCACAATCCGCTCGCACTTGAGCATCAGTCTTGGGACCGATGGTGAGATTTCCCGTTTCCGGCCTGCTCACATGGGGTACTTTTTTTGAAATTTGTGAATCCATTCTTTCTTGCTGTTTGGTTGCCCTTTAGTAAAAAGCCCCACCACCACGGCAAGGTCTTCCAAACATATCCATGATGCCAGTCGTGTCTGGCAGCGGGACCACTTCTCCCAGCACATCAAAGAAATCAATGATGTTTGGCAGTGGACCCACTTCTCCCAGCACATCTAAGACATCAATGATGTTCGGCAGTGAACAACCAGCGGCGGAGATATTATATTATATTACTAGCTGTCCTACCCGTCTTCGACGGGTTTTAGTTTCTACAAATACATTTAACAATGTTTTTACCAATCTGGAAAATCAGAAAAAGCCGAAAATTTAATTTGACCGGAAAATTAATAATTAGTTACCAATAGCTATTTCGGTAGTATAATACAGTCGGGCCGCAGAACTGTACGGTACCCCAGAAATAACCCCTCCACTTGATTTAAAACTGTACGCTGACGAACTCATCCCCACTATTTAATTTTCAGGACTGTACACTTATATATTTAAGGAGCAAGTTTTCAAAAGTTGATAAATATATTTTTTTTTAAAATCGAGATAAACATAAATTTAATAATTTAAATATCTCACAAATCGTCATGTCCCTGCTAAATTTAAAAAAAATTATTAACAGCGAATTTTCAATTTAAAAACTTTTTGACATAACCAAATTGACTTTTAATTTTTATGTTTGTTATTAGAACAAATTACCAAAACCTTAAAGTTACTTTATTATGTGAAAGTTTTATTAAAAACAGAACGTATTAAATATAAAAACTTTGTTACAAATAGTAAAAATTACAAATTTTTTAGTTTGAAATTAACTGAGTGGTTATGTCAGGAAAGTAATTTATTTCGATTTCTCGAAATAATAAGAAAATAGGAATTTATCAAGTTTTGAAAATTTGCTCCTCATTTATCGTCTGGGACTATAATATACATAATTTTAGATTTAAAATTAATTAAAATCATAAAAATATATACTATTCTTAAAATTATAAATGTTAGAAAAATTAACAATTTTTAACCAAAATGTATTGCCTCATAAAATTAAAAGAAGTCCACTGATTTATCCAAATTATGGAAAAGAAAATAATTTGATTAAATCAGTAAAATTTTTAATTGTAAGGAAGAATTTGATAAACAATCGGAACAAAAGTTAATCCAATGTCATAATTTCGTATTTTAAAAAAAGTCAAATTAAATTTTCAATTCCTTTTGGTAAAAGCGTAAGGAATTTAATTTTCTAAATTTTGAAAATTTTAAATATATATTTGAATAAAAAATTATAATTTTGTTGTCAATAATGAATGATTTAAGTAACATAACCTAAAATTTAACAAATGTTTATTCTTATTGACAGAAAATTGTAATTTTTATTCAAATGAAACTTTTAATCGTTTTAAATATTCAAAATTAAATTCTTCGCCTTTCCAACAAGACGAATTTAAAATTTAATTAGTTTTTTTAAATTACGAAATTATGACATTGGAATAACTTTTTATTTGACTGTCCCTCAGATTCTTCCTTAAAAGGCAACATTTTCAAATATACACGGAGAGAAAAATCAAGCGTTTGTAGTATGGACAGTTAAACTTATTTCGTAAAAGAATGCACATGCGCAATATGCGTAAAACTTCTGCTGTATTTGTATAAATTTCTACGTTATCAGCATAAAAGTTCTACCTGTAACGCATGGGACGTCAGTATACTACGATTGCAAGAGATCCATGCTTTTTTAGTATATGTTTCATGCAACTGAGGTATAAAAACATGCCTCTTTAGCAGGACGTTCATACAAAATTAGCATAGGAAGTCTCCATACTACAAACGCTTGATTTTTCTCTCCGTGTACGGCACTGAATTTAGTAGCGCCACCGTACACTGTGGAGCACTTAAAAACTAAAGCCAGCGTACAGTTTGGCGACAGCGTACAGTTTGAAAGCGTTCAGTTCGGAGGCCCGACTGTATTACTATTTGAATAGTCTCCACCTTTTAGCAAAAAATAAAATATTGGACAAGTGCGAGTTGTACTCGCACTGCAATGGCGGGTTCCGTACACAAATATTAAAACAATACTTGCAACAAAATTTTGAAAATTATAGTTCCTCTGCTTATTATTTGTTTACAATATTAGATATACAAAACTTTAATTTTTTTTAGTTATTTTTTTTATCAAATGATTTTAATATATTTTTTTAATTGTTTATTTTAATTCTACCTATTACCGATAAATGTTGCAAGTATTGTTTTAATATTTGTGTACGGAACCCGCCATTGCAGTGTGAGTACAACTCGCACTTGTCCAATATTTTTTTATTTTTAGTTAAGAAATTAAAGTCATAAAACAATCTCTCATTTATTCTCTTAAAATTTAACTCTTCCTTAAAATAATTAATGCCACGTATTTAAACTAAAAAAAATTAAAATTTTTTTTTTTTTGAAAAAAAAATTTAAAAAAATTTTTTTTTTATTTTTTTTCAAAAAGTTTCTTAAATAAATTTTTTGTCGTCAGACTGTAATAATACACTAGGATACCAATTTTCAGCTCATTAGGTCAAATAATGTAAAAGTTAAAGAAAAAATTTTTTTTTTTTAATTTTTTAGTTTTTCCTTGACAACGCTATGGCCATCATTACATATCAAGTTCTCTATATTTTTTCTGTAATATTCGAGTAAAAATACACCAGCATGCAAAATTTCAGCTCTCCATGTCGAATAGTTTAGAAGTTAAGGGGGGAATGGTCACTTTTTATGCATTTTTTGCCAAAAATCTTGTTATTTCCTTGACAACGCTATGACCATCGCGTCCAATCACATTAGCTATATTTTTCCTGTGATCTACGAGTGAAAATACATATCTGGACCAAATTTGAGCTCTTTAGGTCAAATAGTTTAGCCGCTAGAGGGGGGCACGATTTGGCTACGAACACACGAGTCTCACCAATATGGTTCCGCCGATACACCGTAGGTGTACGGAACCCTAAAAATTATCAAAAATTCGAAAAACCCAATTTCTTAAAATTTAACATTTTTTTCTTCTCTTTTATGTCATTAAGCTTCATTATTCTTGTGCTCTTCAAAAATAATGTACTTATTTAAAAGTCTTCAATGTTTGGTAAAAAATCTAAAATTATGGAAAATGAGTAAAAATTCAAAAAACCGAATTTTTTAAAATTTAACATTTTTTCTTCTTTTATGGCATTTAGCTTCATTATTTTTGTGCTCTTTAAAAATACTTTACTTAATTTGTTATCTCTACCCTTTGATAAAAATCTAAAATTATGGAAAATTACCAAAGTTTAAAAAACCGAATTTCTTAAAATTCAACATTTTTTTTTCTTTTTTATGGCATTTAGCTTCATTATTTTTGTGCTCTTCAAAAATTCTTTACTTAATTTGTTATCTCTACCCTTTGGTAAAAAATCTAAAATTATGGAAAATTAGCAAAAATTTAAAAAACCGAATTTCTTAAAATTCAACATTTTTTCTTCTTTTTTTATGGCATTTAGCTTCATTATTTTTGTGCTCTTCAAAAATAATTTACTTATTAAAAATTCTCCACCCTTTGGTAAATAATCTAAAATTATGGACAATTCGCAAAAATTCAAAAAACCGAATTTCTTAAAATTCAACATTTTTTCTTCTTTTTTATAGCATTTAGCTTCACTATTTTTGTGCTCTTTTAAAATAATTTACATATTTAACCCTCCTGCGTACCGTGACGAGTATACTCGTCCAAACTAAGTTGTTACCAAATGCGCGAGGACGAGTATACTCGTCCAAATATTTTTTCTCATAACTTTTAAACAAATTAACTTTAACACACGAGACAAAGTGCAACTTACAGTGCAAGGTTCATAGTTAATGATACATACATAATAAAGTCTCTAATTAAAGTATTTGTTAATAAACGAAGTATTAAATATTTGTTATAAACAGCAGAGGATAGGTCACAAAATAAAAGTTGCAAATACATACTTCTCTTAAAAAATTGTTTGATTTCAATGAAACTTGGTATCTCAAAGATTTTTGGGGTTGCTGATTAAGAATCTGAAGCCAGATTAAAAAAATTTAAAATGGCGGATCCAATATGGCGGATGAGTTTTTCAAAAATTCATCCGAATTTCTTGAAAATTTATAATAGGGGGTTTTTGATGTCGCTGATTACGAATCTAAGGTCATATTTAAAAAATCCAAAATGGCGGATCCAATATGGCGGATGAGTCTTTCAAAAATTTATCCAAATTTCTTGAAAATTTATAATCGGGGTTTTTTGAGGTCGCTGATTAAGAATCTGAAGCCAGATTAAAAAAATTTAGAATGGCGGATCCAATATGGCGGATGAGTTTTTCAAAAATTCGTCCGAATTTCTTGAAAATTTATAATCGGGGTTATTTGAGGTCGCTGATTACGAATCTAAGGTCAGATTTAAAAAATCCAAAATGGCGGATCCAATATAGCGGATGAGTTTTTCAAAAATTTATCCAAATTTCTTGAAAATTTATAATCAGGGGTTTTTGAGGTCGCTGATTACGAATCTAAGGTCATATTTAAAAAATCCAAAATGGCGGATCCAATATGGCGGATGAGTTTTTCAAAAATTTATCCAAATTTCTTGAAAATTTATAATCGGGTGTTTTTGAGGTCGCTGATTAAGAATCTAAGGTCAGATTTAAAAAATTAAAAATGGCGGATCCAATATGGCGGATGAATTTTAAAAAAATTGTTTGATTTTAATAAAACTTGGTATCTAGAGGTTTTCGTGGTCGCTGATTACAAATCTGAGGTCAGATTTTTAAAACTCAAAATGGCAATATAAGAATATTTTATAAATTTAACAATTCTTTGATTGTTTTAACAAATAATTGTTGTTATGTACTAACTTTTTACAAAAAATATCTAGAAACGTGCAGCTTTTTTCTAATTTTGCAATTAACTAAGCTGTGTAATATTACATGAAGATTTTTCATAAATTTAATGATTCTTTAATTTTTTAAACAAATAATGTTGTTGTTTACTAACTTATTACAAAAAACATCTAGAAGTATGCAATTTTTTTAAATTTTGAAATTAACTAAGCTGAATAATATACCTCCAATTTTGCAATTAACAAACATGAATCTTACAATAATACTGATCTTGTTAACTTTTAAAATTTGGAAAAAGCATGTTTCTAAGTCTTTTGTGCAAGGAGTTAATCAACATCTATAATTATTTGTTTAAATATGTGTTAAATTGTTATATTCATAAAACATCATTATGTAGTACTACTCAACTTAGGAAGTCTAAAAAATGCACATTGTTTCATATAACAGAGACGTAGTTTATGAAGGACTCGTAAAATACCAATATATCTAAAACAAATCTAAAAAATTTCTAAAACTGGCGGCCATATTGGCTCTGATCTTCTGTATTTTTAAAATCTGATCTCAGCTTCGTAATTAGTGACCTCTATAAACCCTAGACACAAAGTTTCATTAAATTTTTTTAATAAAATCAAACAATTTTTTAAAAATTCGTCCGCCATATTGGATCCGCCATTTTGAATTTTCCTAATTTGATCTTAGATTCGTAATCAGCGACCTCAAAAACCCCCGATTAT